CTACTACTACTACTACTACTACTACTACTACTACTACTACTACTACTTTTTCTTCCACACTACCCGCGTCCAGATCGGCTCTATAATCCAGCCAATCTTATATCCAATGTGTACCGTGAACTCTTTCGCAAAAGGTGAGGCGGCCACTTCATCTTCGTTAGTTAAGCAGAAGGGACTACTTTTGGTTTTATTTCGTAGCTTGTAGTCTGCGCAAACATATCATCAATTTAGCACTAACATGAACAAACCGCACCACGTAACAGGTAGTATGAGCTACCTTATGATGCGAGCAGAGGTCTCCACTAGTCTGGTTGCTAGTGCCGCGACCCTCATATCTAACGCCATCTATCGAGCGGAAAAGATACTAAATACACGCCATCTATATGTTACGTGAAATTCGATTCTTACAGGCGTGAGAAATTTCATTTTCGCTAAAAAAAACTCTATCAACACAACTTTGTCGCATTTCATAACAATTTCGGAATTATTTAAAAAGCAAGGATACACATAAAAATTTAAGCCCCCAGGGAGGATCGAACTCCCGACCCCTGGTTTACAAGACCAGTGCTCTAACCACTGAGCTATGGAGGCTCAACTACATGTGTCTTGAATTCGTTATATATATATAACATGACCTTAAATTAATATTCCATTCGGCAGAAATGGCATCGCCTGTTGAACTATTATTACTTAAAGTATCAAACAAAACAAACTCCGTGATTTAAGTCCCACGTGTAAATATATTTATTATCACATGTTACCGTACTGAGAGCGTCAAAGAACGTTTCAACTGCGACACGATGGCTGTCCAGTACTGCTAATCTATACGTGACAAAAAAACAACTAATTTAGGAAACGGAATGACTTCGAAATACATTCTTCACAATTCTGCATCGTTGGCTGATACACGTTCGAGAACAGTAGTAATAATTGGTGAACGCACAAGTGTTCATTATTACTTATACTTGGCAATTCGAATCGCTTGAATGACAACCACTGGGTGTACACAAATGCGTAAAATCGCAAATAATTTTGTTATGTTTACGTTACATTGGTCTGATGCTACAAATATTATTATTCAGATACCCACATTTTCATTCCGACCCCGTTAACTATGTCAACTGCTAGTGTAAGACTGCGAGATTATTGTCACTAACCTCTAGTAGAAACCTCCCCATCCCTTATTAAGCACATCAGACTTATGTTAACGATGCGGCCAAGATTCTTGTTCTATCCATATATCTAAGCTAATTATATGGCACCGCTTTATTTCACAAATGCGAAACATAAAGAAGTTATAAGTACACAACCATCCCATGCGATTACTTCACGCACAACTTCCTTTGACCTTGAGACATGTAATGCAGTCCATTCAGCCAATCAGGAACGATCTAGGTAGGTCAAATTCAAAGCTGTTAAATGGAAAAGGCAATCGCTACCAAACTGATTTAATACTCACATTAAAACACTCAGTCCTTTTAAAGTTATGCACATATTCATGCAGTCATGATATTCTGTCTCTCACAAGACTATACCCTTCATAATCTATTTATTTTATATAATCCTTCGTCTTTTCAACACCGTCGTTGTATGTAACTGGTAAATGGAACTGGTTCCCGGGAGTAGAGTCCTGCTTTAGAAGATACTAAGCGCTCAGCTAATGGCGAACTGTCCTAGCTTTCACGAAAGCTAGAAGTTCGGTACAGTATATGCAAAAGTCAACACCTAGACCTTTTCCTGAGACCAAATATGAACCCCGTCCACAACCCCCTATGTTATTTGTTTAAGATCTATTTTAATATTATGTTCTCATCTACGCCTAGGCCCAACCACCGATCTCTGCCTTCCAGAGTTTCAGACTAATATTTTGTATTTCTCACCTCCTACATACATGCTACTATGCCCGAACATCGTACGAGTATCTTCCTTGATTTTAAAAGACCCAAATATTGCGCGGTGAAGAACATAAATTATGTACTATGTTTGGTTATTTTTTTCCGGTACTCCTACCGGGAAACAACTGATGCGTACCGGCTAACTTGTCAAAAATCCTACACCGGCCAGTGCACTGTATGTTTCAACCTTCACGCTAAACTCAGCATGAGAGTACCGGAGAACATGTTCTTAGAAAGAAAAACTGCTGGTCATAACCAAGAATTACATAATATGAATCTTCACACCGAGAATCCCTCAAATATTACAAAATAGTGTAGTCCATTATATAGTGTCTATTTTTTCTAATTTATTTTTCTTACGGCCATTTATGACCAGCATACTATCAAAAACTCTTGGTCTATATTCTCCTTCCATGAGAGATCAAGTTTCATACTTTTACAAAACAATAGGTAAATTCATTACTTTTGTTTACTTTAATCTTCATGTTTTGAAGGGGAGGCGAAGGTATCACTTTTTGACCTGAATGGTAGCAATAAATTCTCAAAATTTAAACTGATTTTTATTTCTTCCGTGAATAGTTTACACATTCTATTTTGTTACTGTCGTCCGAAATATCTGAACTTAGCCATTGCTTCAAAGGATTTATTATCGGTCTTTATGTTATGATTTTGTCCTGCAATCCGACGGTGAGACGCGAACATATAGTCGTTTTTTTTTCACTATGCTTACTTCCTAGATGGACCAACCTCTTTACCCGCTACTTTGTTAGTGGTATATCTTTTATTTAAACAGCTTTGGTTATCGAGATCGGTCCAAATCTGTGATCGAGACATCGAACTTTGCAATTCTACTTGACTATCGATCAAAGCAGCAGCCTCCGATTATCCTTTTCGTAGAAAATAAGGGTAGGGGTCACATCGAGCAGGTAATGTTCCTTGTATTTTACGAGTATTATCAATGAACGTAAAATATTATCAGTGTTAAAATATTAGACATGGTTTAATTGTTTAATATTACTATTAATTTTGTGGTTGGTAAAATTATGTACGTACATTGCATCATTTAAAAATTCAATAGCTTGTGCATGTTCAAATTACATTTCGAGTAAAGGATTGAGATTGCAGAAAATGAACGAAACTTGTAAGAAAACTGTACGATAAAATGAGAAAAAACAGGAATAAAAGTGATTTAAAGCGGTCGTTATTAATAATTTATGTCATCATGGAGATGCTATTGGCTTTTACCCTATTTCGTCATTCATTGAGTTTGGTAATGATCAGTTACGCAAAGCCAGAGTTCGATGTTATCGAGTACCCACTGTTGTATATTATAGTAGTGATGCTGTATGTCACAGGTCCCGATCCATAAGCACAGAAAGATGGGAGTGCCAGATGGAGATGCAGAAAAGGGAAAGAAGGTAAAAGGCAAAACAGCTGATTGCAGTTCATACATGTAAGATGTGAGAACGGTAAATTATTAAACATTCTTTTAAAATGCAGGTTTTCGTTCAGAGATGTGCCCAGTGCCATACTGTAGAAGCAGGTGGCAAGCACAAGACTGGCCCCAATTTACATGGGCTAATTGGACGAAAAACTGGGCAAGCAGCAGGGTTTGTGTATACAGATGCCAACAAGGCCAAGGGTATGTATGAAGTTTGTGAGGAATAAAATCATAACTAAGGGCAAGTTGCTCTGTGTACTATGATATGTATCAAATAGTAGATCTTGCTGAACTAATATTGTAGTTCCTATTTATGTTCTTAGACATACAAAATTAGAAAGGTGGGCACAGTGCCAAGTAATATCTAATTTGGGGGTAAATTATGTGTCATTCCTGCATCCCTGGATATAAATTATTTATAGGTAAAATTATGCCAGACCTCACATGACATGCAAAGAACTGTTTCTTCTTGTTTTATTTTCCTAGTCAGTAGGGGCTCATATTGAGTACTCATCAGTGCAGTACAGTGAACAATGCTTGCAACACAAATTTGTGCTTTTTAGTTAAACAAGAAGTAGGTATAGGGAGGGATGTGCAACACACATTCAAATAGAATTACAAGATAAACGTATTACTTGCTTGAAAATGAGATGCTTAATTTAGTGTAATATACATTTCAACATTCTTCTGTACTTCTAAAATGCCCTATTGCAATATGGGAAGTGTTCTAATGTAATTATCACTGACAATCTAAAGATGTAATCAGAAGAATCTCAATATCTTATCAGAAACTTCCCCATTAACTAATAACGTTTTCTGCTCTTGGCATCACTTAGTATGTACAGTGAATCCTGGCATCCTGAAGGGACTGAGGTAAAGGGCTGAGTATTGGGCTGTATCTTAAAGTCAGATCAGATCTGTGATGTAAGTAGATAAATGAAAGTAGCTGGGAGTCAGCTAAGAATTATAATAAAAGTCCAGGCTCTCATCAGCCTCAAAGAACAATATGACAGGGTACAGAGTATGAAGTTTCCTAATATAGTTAACGGAAATTTCCCACGTCACCAAAGACAGATTAATCTGTCAGGAATAAAGGGGAGAGGGGCTTATGAAGGCTGTTTACAACATACAAAGCGGTATTAAGTACTGTCCTAGCTTGAGAAGACATTTTTCATAAAGACTGAACTGGCATTTGATTTGGTACATCCTGGTCAGTTATACTAACAAATATTATAAAAGGTAGTAGTAGTCAGATTGGTTCCATAGACCCAATTTTCCTTAAAATAAAAATAAATCTCTTGCATCTTGTGTCCTTACATCTACTTACGAACCCATTCACCGGGTTAATAAATATATGTCATCATGTAACATCTTACGGAATTGGAAACAGCAGCGGGAGAATTAAGATATATGTTAGATTTAGTGAGACTGCAGGTCACATACGGCAATATTATATTGGTCTGTTAGTAACTGAGCCTAAACTACCAAACCAGTTTCATTCAAACTTTTTATGACAGATCGTACTAAATTTTGCTATCCCATTTGATATTAATTTGGTTACTTATAAATATATATCTGTATTTCATTAATTTCATTTCACTGTAAGAGCCATTGCAGTAAGGGACCTAAATGAAATACACAACTTCTGTTTTATTATTATTATTATTGCCATATGTGAACGTAATTCACTTCAGTTTGTTCTAAAGCCTGCTTTACTTATGTTTTTGGACATACCTCACTTCATTGCTTGTATACTAAACAGCAGGAATGTATACACAGTATTTGAATACAGTTCAATGATCGAGAAAAGTGCGAGGATAACAGTATCTGTTGAATGTCAAAAGTGGTATTCAGTATCCTGCTATTTTTGTCAGATGGCATATACCTGTAAAACAAACTGCATAAATGAAATTATTAATTTCTCCTGTTGGTGACAAATGTGCTGAGTCCAATTACATTTGCCTAGAGTCACCCAGAATAGACGATGCACTAGCGTCTCCATTTAGTGTAGTAGCCTTCTTATCATTTGGATAAAAAGGTAAAGCTATCCCTGCAACAGACCATGGAGGCCCATAGGGTTGTGAGAGGTTGAGGCTCCCTCATCTTCCAGACAGTTGGCTCACAGATGGTGGTGAGGTTGCCAGTCTTACGCTCCAGCTGCCCTTTATCCCCGGGAAGATTCCTGGTCCTCATTTCTGTTAGAGGCTGTCAACTCCAGGGCCATAGTGCAGCTGGAAGAATTAGGTCAATTGAAAAAAAATCAAGTGACCCTCATCTGTGTTTTCAACCCACCACCTTCTGCCTTGTAGCAAAGTGCCTCAACCAACTACGCTACTGCACACCCCCTTATCATTTGGATACAGTGTTTATTCTGTAATCATTTGGAATAAAAACTAAAAGTTCTGATACTGAATTCCTCATATGTTCACATATTTCCTGTGTAGGTATCACCTGGAATAAAGACACATTATTCATCTACTTGGAGAATCCCAAGAAATACATCCCAGGCACAAAGATGGTTTTTGCTGGCATCAAGAAACCACAGGAGCGAGCGGACTTAATTGCATATCTAGAACAATCAACAAAGTAAATCAATTAGTTGCCACAGCTGTAGTGATATTTTATTTATCCACCTGGGGACGTGGACTAAAAGAGAACTTAGGAGTCTAGTTTGTTGTGATTTGAGTGAAATTGTGCGTCCTCAGAACAACTTGACAATTCTCATGTACAGTTTTTTTTTAACTTATTTGGCTGTTTGTGTGTGCTGGCCACTGTCACAGCATGCTGTCAGATAGTATTTCTTGTGTTATGCAATACAAGAATTTGTTGATCTAAAAATAATAAAAAATAAGGTGAACACTGAACAAAAAACTGTAATTATTTCCTTCTTTGTAAAACCTTAGACCTGGACATGGAAAATATAAAATGACTTCAGTTATTCCATTTTCTCATTACATGCCTTGTTATCCATGTATTTTTATAGGCAGTCTCAAGCGTCTCAAGGTATTGCCTCTACACGATTAAATCTTTTTTTTTCATGCAAATGTTGGAGAATAATACTAAAATCAATCTTAGTAAAATTAGGTACTGAGATGTCAACAGATTTAATATTATGTAAGATTTGAGGTTTTCACGGTGGTGAAGAAAGCAGTCTTCAGGGATTTGGCACCGTGTATATGTGGTGTTAACCGATGTTTCGGAGGAACGTATCGCCTCCATCTTCAGGGTAGACTGGTACAAGCAGACTTGTACTGCTTGTACTACTACCCTGAAGATGGAGGTGATACGTTCCTTCGAAATATCGGTTAACACCACATATACACGGTGCCAAATCCCAGAAGACTGCTTTCTTCAGATTTAATATTAACAGGAACCAGGACATTGGCATCAGTTGTAAGTTGTTAAGGTGACCTTAACACGAATAAAGTCTTTCCAAGTGCATATATTAGAATAACACATCCCAGCCTTCAGTGAGAAAAATTTGTTTCCTTGAGACTGGAGCTACTAATTAATCCACCTGTTAGCCATTCACCAAGCGATAAAGAGAAAGACAGGACACAGTTTCACAATTGGTTGGAGCGCAAACTGAGTCTTGGGGTTCAAGATGGATATGACTGAGTCATCAATTTGCAATAGCCATGACCATTTAGTGTATTCCTGTGTCCAATTTGTTAGTATATCATTGTATGTAAGTTTCCATTACCAATTAAGATGATACAGAGCTTGCTTCGCACATGGGAGGTGCCAGGTTCAAAACACATTGCAAATTCTATAATTTGCTCTGAAGTATACTGAATTTTGTCTTGTAATTATTCTCATAGGCACAACTAGAAATCCATGAGACAAAAATTAAAGTTGTTTCAACACATTTCTCTACTTAATATTGTAATATTTCATTTAGCCTTGAATTTTTGAAGGAATGAACAGAAGTGAACAAGACTCGGGTTCTGAATTCCCCTCATGGGCGAGTAGACCACAAGGCTGGAATAAAAATTACACATGATCCTGAATCTGGTCATCTGCAATGGCATACAAACCCAGCTGTAAGGACCGCAGTTATGATGACATAATACTTTATTAGGCTTATAGGGCCGCGCCAAAGCTCAAGCGGTTAGTCGCTGGCCTCCCACTGCAGCAGCCCAGGTTCCATCCTGGGTCTGGTCAAGTGGGATTTGTGGTGGACAAAGTGGCATTGGGGCAGGTTTTCTCAGAGTACTTCAGTTTCCCCTGCCAATCTTCATTCCACCAATTGCTCCACAATCACTGTCACCTATCATCTGAGGTTAGTACAATAGGCCAAAAGTGGCCTCAGTACAAGGGAGTTAGTCCCACCCCACTAGCAATAAAAAAATAATTAGGCTTATCACATATGTGAGGTCTTGATGTAACATATATTATAAAGCTTTGCTGCAGTTATGATGGGTAGGGGAAAACCAAAGTGCTTTGAAAAAAGTACACAGAACCACATTATCCACCATAAATTGAGAAAGCCCACAAAGTCCATATCAAGTGACCAAGCCTGGATCCATGAAATGGGCAGTACAAGCCATAAGATCATGTGTTGTATGAACAATATGCATAAGAGGGATACAAAAAGACATGGAACTTGAATGTCATAAGATACTCTTTTTTCACTACTAGATGAAATTAAGGAAAAGTAGAAAAACTAAAGTGCTCAGCTTATTTTTCTTCTTATTCCATTACAGCTTATGATGGGCAGTCTGGTCTGATCTGAACCCTTGATTACAGTCTGTCTGGGGGCCATCAGTTTCAGTCCTCCCATTGTGATAGCCTTAAATCAAAATACACTTGGTCCTTAACATACAAATATCTATACATATGGAGAGCATGAGAATTGTTCATGCTTATTTTAATTTATTTAGTTTTTTCTATGTATGCATATCTGAATGTGTAATATTCTCATTAATATTCATTTGTAACTACATACAGTATCATAGTTTCAAGACTTCGTTCATTAGCTTAGGTATTCTGCTAATAATAATTACATTATCTCTTATGGCAAAGAAGAATATATCATCTTATAAACACAACTTATAAAAGAGGTTTTGAGCTAAAAAACTCCATAAGTTTAGGATCAAGTGCATTTAAATGTTAATGTACAGTAAGTCCAACAAGCTATGTAGGTAATAAAATGGTTTGAAATCATATATTACTGTTTTAGAATTAGGATACCAAACATTCTTTTATTTAGCTTTCTGTTGTAGTTGGCCAACCCTGGATCTACAGCTTGGACACCAATTCACACATTACCTTTCCCCTCCTTCTACAATGTTTACAAAGACTCTGCAAACATTCAAGACACGATTGCAGCATCACTTCCTCCTTTCAGTATTCTCATTCTAGCTAATCATTTTCTCTACATTAGCATCACCAGTTTACACTGTATTCCACTGTCATTACTGAAATTTCCTCCTCCTATAAATGCTTTCATTTTATGTTTAAAATGTTATGTAAAAGAGGATGAGTCACATCATGCTATTAAAAGTAGTAAGAAACGAGCACTTACCAGCAAAATGTGTAAAGTTTCTCCTGTATCTAAATGTATCCCACAGAAGGCATGGCTCTGCACATTCTAGACCTCAGAATTATATGGGAGTGAGCAATTTCACACCCTGGTTGCCTGAGGAAGTGGGCTGGATAGTGTAAAAGACAAGACATATAAGTAATAAAGTTAATGAAGGTTAAAAACAAAGTTGTCTCTGTGGCTAAGCATCTTCATTTTGAGATGTATAAGAGGTGCAGCAGTGAAGCTCCATGCAATTTTAACTTCATTAGAGATGGAAGTACACTAGGCTTCCTTCTATGACTCCGTTACTCCCAAGTACCCACTGATATAATCTAAAAAGGCTATTTGGAAACTAACCTCTGTTTATTTTAGGCAACTAATATAAGATTTGGGGGAGAGCTCGCACATGCGAGGTAGCATCACATGTCTAATTGCCTTGTAAACCATCATATAACTGGTCATGTAGTGTTTGGTCTTGTCTTCACACAGTGAATTATGTTGTGTCATGCGATTGATAATCCCACCAGCTGCGAAATTCTCGCTGTTACCAACTCTCTTCATGCTAAAAACTTGAGTGTTGTGGAAATCCATCATGAATTATGTACGGTTTACAGCCAAAATGTAATGAGTGAAGGAACCGTAAGACTATGGTCTAGAATGTCCACAGATGGGTGAACAAATATTCGTGATGAAGAGCGAAGTCATCAGTCACCTGCAGTGATGATCAAAAAATTTGTGAAAGATGGCACTTCACAATTTCAGAAATTTCATGTGAATTTCCACATATTTCATGCACTCTGCTCTTTGAGATTATCATAGATTTATTTATTATTGCTAGTGGGGTGGGACTAAATCCCTTGTACTGCGGCCATTTCTGGCCTATTGTACCAGCCCCAGATGATAGGTGATGGTGATTGTAGAGCAATTGGTGGAATGAAGATTGGCAGGGGAAACTGAAGTACTCGGAGAAAACCTGCCCCAGCACCACTTTGTCCACCAAAAATCCCACTTGACCAGACCTGGGATCGAACCCAGGCCGCCGCGGTGGGAAGCCAGCGACTAACTGCTTCAGCTATGGCGCGGCTGATTATTACAGATACTTTCCGAATAGCACTCATATTTCTATTGGAATAAATTGTTCACTGTCAGTGTTGTAGACTGTTATCAGCATTAGAAAGCTACCAGGTTCTATTCTGAACATACTTCTGGCATTCATATGGCTATGGGAATTTTGAACATGCATAGAACTTTCTTCCATAAGACTGCCTACATGAGGTATGGCATATCTTGGTGATAAGAGTAGATGGACTTCAGAAGAGTGGGTGGGAAGCAAGGCCAGTCCAAATGTGGTAGCAAAATGTTGAGAATCAAAACCTGGTGATCCAGCTCTTAACTAGTCCCATTGAGCTATACTGACTGAATGAGACAAGGTGTGAAAGGAGGTAATTCACTGTGCAAACAAACCATTTGGTGTCTGTCTTTCTTATGTACACCTTTGAGACAGGTATAAGGAATGTACAGTCAGCAACATTTACTCTGGCCCACAGTAATATCAAGAATGCAATAGTTTAGCCTTATACCAATTTTTACTTTCTTATAGAAAGTACACAGAAAGTCTTATTTCAGCTTCATGTAAAGTATGAATTATAATAGAATGATATGAACCAAAATTAAATTTACCCACAAATTTCTTATGTAGACCCTTCAGCATCGGAGCTAATCAGTCTGGTCATACACAGAAATTTAGAAGCAGTGAATAAGTTTAATCAAAATAAATCGAATACTGCTCTATCATCAATCACCTTTATAAAATGAGGAGTGAAGCGAGACTGAATCCCTTTGCATCAAGGCCTCTGATAGGTCTATTCTACTAACTGCTGCTGATGATGATGATGACAGTATGGACCACTGATGAAATGATAGTTGGCAGGTGAAAATATAATGCACCATAAAATCTACATGGACTATCCTGAAATTAAACAAAAGTCTCCATGTTGAGAAGCCAGTGACTGTCAGATGCATGGCAAGGCCAATCTTTATGACGTCATATTGTCTGTGGCATATGCCTCTAGTCAGAGTCTTGGCCATTACTTTTTTTAATAATTCTGTTTGTACTTTCACACCTGGTTTTGGTCTCAAGGCTGAAATGCAAAGCATCATTAGATGTACAACTTATGACAGTTTTCATATCTGTACTGATGCATGTTGGTCTGGGGGGGGAGAATAACTGGTCTTATCAATGTTTATGAACCGTCCGAGGTGCAGCAACTCACTTCCATAGAATAGAACAATATAAATTAAAACAGAGATGGACATGAGAATTAGGAAAATATCCTTGGGATATCAAGGAATCACGAAATGAACAAGGTTTAAAGAAGACTCTGAAAGAGGGAAATACTGTACTGTGAAAAGATGTGAATGGAAATTTACAGAAGAGGAAACAGGAATGGGGGTTTTCTGCGCTGGACTGACGTGATGGAAACAATTCAAAAGCAGAAAAGAAACAATATAAAATGTATATAATTGTACCTTTGCTGAACTAAACACAATGCCATGAAGGCATATGGGGGAGTGGATGTATAGAACCATGTTTTCTTGGTTTCGGTATTGCTGGAGGTGTGTGGTCAGCTTCATGCCCCAGCTGCTTTACCTCCGGGGAAAGAGCACCCAGTATCCATCAGATAGGAGGCTGGGTGGGCCCCAGAGCAAGTCTGGACGACACTGAGAAGTGAAATTTCTTGCCCCCACCACGACTCGAACTCCAACCCCTTGGCCGTCCAGCTCGTAGCCAGTCGCTATACCGACTTCGCTATCCTGGCTCTCGGAAAAGGAAGAAGACTACTCTAAAGAAAGAGAAGGATTTTGAACAGGAGGTACAAAATCACATACAACAATTAAGGCTTGGTAAAATATGTATATACATATTTAATGTAGTATCAAATCTGTACAGTAATGCATGTGTCTTTCAAATTAGCGTGACATGAGAGATAAGGAAAACCAACAACTTAAAGATTTGGCCTTATATATTACTGCATACATTTCTTTGCTTCACACTATCATTCCTCAGTTCGTTCAGCATGATGTAACATCCAGCATAACGTGTATATGAATGAGCAACAGTAATGTAATGTAGCTGCAAATGTTACGAGTTTAATGAACTGATAGCATCACAATTACGTTACTTTTATCTGGATGTTATAGCCAAGTAATAACATCATTAACCACAACTAGAAACACACAGTGGAGCTGTTCTAGAATCCCTTTGCATCAAGGCGACAATAGTTCAACATGTCTGTGACAATAGTTCAATCATTTTACGACAATCACATCGGACATCTTTCATACACTGAAGTACATTTAATATATACAACATTTCATGTGGTGGGTCTAGTCCCAACTTCAGCTGATTGGTTGCCATTGCAGGAAGAATTTTCCAATTTTAAAATTATAGGCAGGGGCCTCTACATTACTAATTTTGCATGCTACCCAGAGGGCCATCAGCCATGGGGACATACATACAAAACTGCTAATATATTGACAAGAAGCCCCTGAAGTCAAGCACAGAATCACCTCATTGAACATCACATACAGCATATCAAATATACTATACCACACAACAGACAATAACTGTGGTGTGTGGGAATAAAGACTGTACTTTGTTCCAGACTTAATACCAAAATTCAAACAGAATTCACAAACTCTTCGAGTCTGAAATGAAAATGCATCTTACATCCCTGAAAACTATACCACTAGAGTAAACATGTGAGAGACAACACACCTCACTGTTCAATGACATCAATTTTGATCTTGATGTTGACCGAAGCCAACTGCGCAACCAGGTAACGGAAAATGTATGGCATTTCAACTTCCTCCACTTTCCCCTTTTCCTGGCAAACCTTACAATGAACCTCTTGCTGATACTGATCTCCATGCCGCTGCACAATAATCACTGGGGTCAGGATGCTGCCACATGTCTGACACAACATCATCTGTAAAATTATACACTTACGGTTACTATCTAAGTATCAAATATAATAAACAATCCTCAACTATTATCAACTTGTATTACTACTAATACTACTACTACTGTTATTAATATATTTATCATTATCAATATAAATGCAGTAAAATTCAAGTATACATAAAAAATGTATTTTGAACAAACCAGAAGTCCTACAAATGTAAGTCTCAGTACAGTTCAAAATATACTACTCTACCTAATATTAATTTAACTTTTGTAGGACAACCAGTATTTTGAAAATCAAGTTTTAAAAAGTTTATACATAATTTGTTATCACATTCTTAATACAACAGTAAGGCCACTAATCAATACCAATCATTTTTTTCACATGAACAACTATCATGTTGGAAACTTGAGCCTCGACAGTCTCCGAATAACCACCCATGGCAATGATATTCATACTGCATGTTCAGTAACAGTACAGATGTCCCTTGTACAGCATGGGCAATGCATTTGAATACAGGATGCAGTAATATCAGCATTTATTGCACTTGGAACACACTGAGATTCCAGTGAAAGCTACAGATGTGAAACGGTTTATTCAGCAACATTTAGGAGACCAAGGAAAGGTAGAGGAACCCAATTATGGAAGTTATGCAAAAGAATGTATGCAAACAGTAGACAAAGGCGTAAAGGTAAAAAAGATGAAGTTGTCCCTGTGCTTAGCTAATTAAGCACTACATCATGAAGAAGTATGGAGAAGTGGATGTATAGATCCATGTTTTCTTGAACTTGGCATTAGTTGGAGGTGTGTGATCAGCTTCATGCCCCGGCTGCTTTACCCACAGGGAAAGAGCCCCCGATGCCCAATGGATAGGAGGCTGGGTGGGCCCCAGAGCCAGTCTGGATGATGATAAAAGAAAATTCTTAACCCTACCGGGCCTGGAACTCCAACCCCTCAGCCATCCAGCCTGTAGCCAATTGCTATACCGACTGCGCTATCCCAGCTCATAGATATAGGTGCAAGAGGCCAATTTATGGGGAACAGATTATGTCGTCGTCATCATCATCATCATCATCACTGGCACGACAGCCCTTTGTGAGCCCTGGCCTTCCTCAGGATTGCTCGCCATTCTTCTCTATTCGATGCTACATTCCTCCAGTTCTTTACACCCAAAATTCTTATGTGCTGCCACACACATTCTTCCCATCTTAACCTTGGTCTTCCCACTCTCCTAGATCCTTCTGGTTTAGTATTAAGCATTTTCTTGATGGTTCTATTCTCGCTGGCATGTATTATGTGTCCAGCCCATTCAAGCCTTTTCACCTTTATAAATCCAATAATGTCTGGTTCATTAGATACAGATTATGTCATAGATAACCTAATATTGTGGAAACATTAAGAGATGAGCTCATGTGCACCCCCACACGCACAGAACCTCATGTAAACAACCTTTATTTCCATCTGCTACATTAAAATCAACTCACCGTCGTTTTATCTGAACAATGAAAGAGGCGATCCTGGAGGAGGAATGCAGATCCATGGGACAGCAGCGAGTCACGCTCCATTTCTCCAAATCTAACTCCACCCCCTCGTCGTCTGCCCTTCACTGGCTGATGGGTCAGTACATCAATGGGTCCTGTACTACGTACCTGCAGAACAGATATTTTTAGAGCACCTTCTTATACCAAAAATTCCCAACTTTTTCAATTTTACTTGTATGTATGAGTGAGTATGAAAAGTAGTTATCAAAACAGCTAATAAACTCAGATTCATTGATATCTTTACACTGATTCAATGAAAGGTTATGTATATATGTACTGAGGCACTACCCTTCTGATGTGAACTGAGGACTTGCACCTTTCACTGCAGAACTGCGAATGTTGTAGAAGATTTGGAAGAAAAATCAACAAGAACAACACAAACAACACTAAACATGAGAAGGGTTAATATACTAAGTGGTGAGAGAGAGGAAAGAAGTAAACGAAAATGAAGAACAACTACCGTTTTACTGAGGCCCCTGAAGACCAACTCATACCCCACCTAATTTCTTTTGGTAACCTGGTACCGGAACAAGTTATTCACTTACAGACATGTCTTCATATTTTCACCACAATATAAAATCAACATTTAAAGAAAGGCTCATTCTATGGGAAGAATATCAAAACATATGTTCGTTAATAAGCATGCAATAGCAAGCACAAACTACTGAAAATAAAATTATCTCTGACATTTAAAACTTTACATAAGGAAATCCAAGCATTTGAAATTATAGCTATATCACTCACTGTCTGAATTAAACATTATAAGAGCTAATGATCTAACCTGCCACTTGTCGGACACCATGTGTCTCAATCGTTGATAGTGAACTATTCCAAAGAAAATATCAGCCTTCATTTCACATCCATCAATACCACTATACATTTTTTCTGTGCCATAATAATTGTAGCCTCCTGAAACATAAATAATTTTTTGATAAAATATTATGTACATAAATACACTAATAACACACGCAGTCACAGGAGCAAGACACAACACAAAGCACAATACACACACGAAAGTAGAAAGAGTGCTCCGACAGAAGACGATAGGTGTGACTCGCGTAGTGAGATACGACATAGGGATGAAAAATTCTGAACAATTTTAATATTTTTAACATTTAATATTTATCAATATATATGATAAATATATATTTTAGTTATTTTAATATGAAGATGGCAAGGCATGCAGTGAACTAGTTTAACGTAAATCGAATAAGCACCTGAAGATGGCACTTTTCTGCCGAAACATGTAGTGCGAGAGAGAGGAGTGAGATAGATGAGTGTATGCACTGGAAGACGGTTGAAATAAATCATGAACTTAAATCAGTGCAACAGGACGCTAAAATATAACACCATATCTCATATTTAGGTAAATATGGTAATTTCACAACTTCAATCAATTTCCTAAAAACATGATGTGTTTCTGCGTGATACAATCAAAATTTAATATGTGTGAACTGCTCACCAGCTTCCAACATCTTGCCAAAGTAATCCATAGCTGTATCCTCTTCTGAAAATCTGAAAGGTGTAGCATCATGGACCAAACCATGCAGTGCAGCAGACTTCCCCGCCATTACCTCAATCATCATAGCTGCACCCAAGAGTAACATTTATATTATACTACACATATAACCTAGATAAAGTAGCTTTACAGTGTAAGTGTAGTTCTTTTAATAACTTGAAGGGCTAAGTAGCAAGACTGCTTTTCCTTGTTGCCAGTACCTCTAATGCCCAGAGAAATATGAACATATGAAGAATGTTTATTACTGGTATATGCATAAAAGAAAAGTTTATCTCGCTGATTGTAATAATCCTACATGAAAATGTCTACTCTAAGTGCCATGGTTATAATCCTTTCTTTATTTATTTTATAAATCAATATACATTGATACAGGATTCGTCATATCATAACACTATCACTAAAACATATACAGGCAATTCTACAGGTAAACAATACATATAAATTATGCTTATCAAAATGAAAAGCTGCAAAAAATCAAGACAAAAGATTACACCATGCAAAAACTGTATAAGATCAGCAATCAGATTATAAATTATTTGTAAGAAGCAAGATTTTCCATTATTCTCCAATCTAGATACTCCCACAATGAGTAAAAGGAGCCAATATGGAGAAATTTTTTTAAGGCATGTTTAAACTTTAACATAATTTATAATGTTTTTAAGATTCTGTGGTAAATTATTAAATACGTATCATGATCCCGGAACAGTACACACCTTTTTGGACTTCAGCTAATTTATAAGTTGAATGATGTAAATCTGAACCTTGTCTCGTATGGATACTATGTATATCAGAATTTAGTGTGAAAGCATCCATATTTTTAACAACAATGCCTGCTAAAGCCTAAATTTGTGAATTCATCATTCATCATCTTTAGCAGTTTCTAAAATGGAGAATAAAATTCACTGTTCCCAAAAATGCATGCAACAATGTACTTTACTGTGTTTACCTGTTCCCTTTCACAGATTTTTCAGTTTTGTAAACTAGTAACTGGTAGAACACAAGATCGAATCACAGCTTCCACTAATTACTGTGACTAAGTGGGGGGAAGAGAGAATGTGTTCCATTCTCACATCATGTGACCCACTATTCACTTATGTGATTATAAAGATTTTACATGCTTTGAAAGTTTAATCTTTTTTTGGTAACAACATATATGTAGCAATGAATATGATAATTATAAATGTCTAAATTTTCTCCATATTCCTGCAAGCTTTGCTGATGACTGACAAGCCATTCACTCACCGATTGTCATTCGAGAAGGGAAGCCATGTGGATTGAACACTATATCTGGAATCAGACCAGTCTCTGTATATGGCAAGTCCTGTTCTGGCCAAAGATAACTGCAGATTCCTTTCTGACCAGCCCGACTCGCAAATTTATCTCCTACAGATGGATTACGCTGAAAACATTACATCACTTAGAGAAAAATTCTTATACCATAATAAAAAACAATAAAAAAATTAATGCAACTGTAATAATCCAATAAAAATCTTACTGGTATTCTGAAGACAATGCAGGCTTTAGTTGCTTCTTGAGAAGATAATGTTCCACATAACCTCACAATATCAATATATGTATCTTCTTTCCCTTTCCATTTTTCAATTTGAAATTTTGCTTCATCATCATCATAATAGCTGTAAACATAAATTAATATTTTTTTAACTATAGCATTGAGATACAAGCAAATGAGGAGTAACTGGAATTGAATGGAACACATCAGCTTCTGGCATATGCTAAATTTATGAGGTGAAATTATAAATACCACAATAACAACAGCAAATACAACTTATCATTACCAAAAGAATAAATGTACAGATGTAATTCCCAAATCAGTAGCAGATTATAATATCACATTTGAGAAGAGAAGTGAGAATATTTAACAAGATCCATCAACGCTTAATTTAAAGAATAAAATGTTCCCTATAACACAAAACGCATGAGATCCCAAAAGGATGATGGTACACAATCCCCATTTACCTGGAACTGTAAAGCATTACAAAGAAGAGAAACTGATAGGCTTAAATCAGATGATCTTACCAAACAAATGGATAATCCATGAAGAAGTAAATAAAGTAAGTAGTAGGTCCCTCTCTTATGTCTTACAGAACAAAAATAATTATGAATCATTCAATTTCTCTTCATAATAACTACTTACCAACAATAAGGTTGTCCCTCCTTGAGCAATATACCGGGGTGGGGCAGCCCATCTGAGTCCAAGTAGGCCTGTAGTTCTGGTCGCTCAGGATCCAAGCCAAAATGTGACTTTTGCTGGAAGCAAGAAATTGCAAACTGTTATCTCTAATCACAGTCCTGCAATATGCTCACTCAACTGTCATATGTGAATTGACATGAAATGGTGGTGATTACGCTCAGTCTTGGCCTAAATGCATTAAAACTTAACTAACTCTGAAATGTGTAATTCCCATTCTGCACCTCACAGCTGGGAAATGATCTTAATCAACTAGTAACTTTGCCATATCAATTAAATTAACCTAATAAGGCCAAGTATAAGTTACTGATGACTCCATCCAGGCAGACTACTTTCACTGACATATAGTAATGATCCTTCTTTGCATAATTTTATTCTAGACAAAGCAAGAAATCAGCTGTATTACTAAAAAAAAAAAAGAAATTACAATTTCCAGTCAATAATAATACAACATGGTGATGTGAGATATTAAATTTTCAAGACTTGCCTAATTCTTCTTTTGAATATTATGAAAAGATCCTAATTTTTGGATTTGGCACTCTGTTACAATTACAACTCACCGACTTCAGCTCAATAAACTCAGATTTGTAAACAGAGCCATGAGCAAACCCTCGTTCATACGAAGCTTTATTGATGATCATGGCATCTTCCATATCATATCCCTGAAACCAAGAGAAACATCAATAACTTCAATTACGTATGAACATCCTTCTTTCCGCAGTTGTGTGTCCCACATTTTGTTGTAACTAACAAGGTCTGACTCAGCTTAAACACATCTGACTTGTGTTCATGAATACTTAGTCTGAACCAGCTTCACTGACTGATCTTTATCTTGCTTTTCCTCAGACTCTAAAAGTGATTATCTTTAAAAATTCAGTTCAAGATCAGTTCCACTGCATATTTTTATCTGATATGAGAGAAACAATGCTGCCATCTAATACAGAACATGGAGATTCATAAAAAGCATATATTATGCACTGTCTGCACTTGTACACAGGGAACGTCACAATCATCCATCCATTTGCTTCATCCCCCAGAACTGCTGAATGATTTTCAATTTAATATGGCAGAAATATCTGGTGAATTTATTTTTGGTTATGTAGGTCCAATAAGAGAGATGAAGTGACAGGAGGTTGGAGAAAACTGCATAATGAGGAGCTTCATAACTTATACTCTTCTCCAAATATAATCAGAANCACGAATGGGGGAGACGAGGAATGCATATAGGATATTGTGGGAAAGCCAGAAGGAAAGAGGCCACCGGGAAGACCATGGCGTAGGTGGGTGGACAATATTAAAATGGATCTTAGAGAGATGGGATGGATTGCATTGATGTGGATCAGGATAGGGACTGGTGGAGGGCTCATGACCATGGTAATGAAACTGCGGGTTCCATAAAATGCTGGGAAATTCTTGAATAGCTGCAGATTTGCTGGCTCCTCAAGAAGGGCTCAGCTCCATAAGTAAGTATATAGGTCTGATACAATCATTACTTTACATGACATTCACATCAAACTTTATAAATTTTCTCAAAAGTAGCATTTTGTATAGAAGATCAGTACACGACATAAAATATACACATTATATGTCAACATTAATTTGAAACCTTTTTCATACAATAAATACTTAATGAACTGCAAGGAAAAATTCTGACTTCATGCAGTGTCATATATGAAGTACAATCAGTTTTACAAAGGTAGCTTTGTAATTGCAATAAACAAATATCACAGCCTATGAGTAATGCAAAATATGGATGCAGTCTGAAAATACGTGTAACCCACTAGAGTACATGTTTCCATTTGATTTAAACACATTTCAGAAAATCTAGCGGTCAACTGAGAACTAAATTTGACATGAATTTTATTCTATGCCCAGGTACAGATTTTGTTCACGAAATTAAAAACAGGATTTATTAGAGTGTCATAAAGCATATACCACAGGATGTCCCCCTCACAACAAAGGAAAAAAAAACTCTCAGGGCACATAAATCATACCCCTCCATGCTGAAGAGTTAAACAGATCACCTGGATAAATTGCGGAACTTTAAAAAGAAACCCTAATGAAGATAAACGCACAAAGATTCAAACTGGTATCTTCCAAATGACGGAGGCATGATATATACTGTATCATTTCATTTCGTTCTTCTGTGTCATCAATTTACTTACTGTATATGAAATAACAGCAACAACAGCATTAGTTCCCATTGCAAATTCATCTAAGCCAACTAGGTCATAGTGACCTGTCCGAAAAAATGGACTTGCTGGTGTCTGAAGCCGGTAGAGTTTAGTCTCAGCTTGGAGGTGCCATGTGTGGCATGGAGTTCCCATAGTCTGTTTCCCCATCTAAATTAGAGAGAAAAAAAGTTCCAAGAATATTACACAGACTTTCAAGTGTGTGGCTGCTTTACATCAGTGTTTGTCAAGTTGAAAGATGATTTATCTGAATTCACAAAGTGAAGTTTCCAAGGCCTCTTTTAAACACATTCATGCTTAGTTTTGTTTAATGAAACTTCTTATGACTACACACTTTCATGTTAACACAACATACAAGGGTAAGCTTTCTTGCTACAACATTTCTGTACTGTTTCATAGCACAAATATTCACATTATTTCCCAATACAGTTACTTCCTCTCCCAATACACACCTTCCAATAGTTCACAAGTGCCATGATGTACAAGGACCCTATCCTGAGATGCTGAATGCAGCTGACATACCAACAACCTACTTTCGTAATACCCACTTTAACACTTCGCGGACCGGTGATTTAAATATTTAAATCACCCTGGGGACCGGCATTTTTAAACATACTACCCTAACTTGTGCACTGTTCACTTTCAAAATTAATATAAAATCTCCTAATTAATTTTTTGAACTAAAATTTTTGGAGAACACTTACCAATGCTCCTAGAAGTGCTTGAGGGTGTGATATTTCTGGAAACTTTCCCCTTTGTGAAGTGGCATTACACAGAACTTGCAAATGTAGACATACTCCTTTTGTTGTGAACTGTGCAAACACGGCATTGCCTNTTGTCAGAGCTACTGTCACTTTTACTGTCTGTGGCCACAATTCTTTGTTGTCCCCCGTCACTGTCGCCGTCTGAATGACAATCCATTACTACGCGTCTCACAATGCAGGTCAGCTAGGTCATCGGAGGAGAATTTGTCCTTGATCCATTCTCCCCACTAGCTACTGGCTGATATACACAGCTTGAAGAAGGCAAAGCATTTTCCTTTATAGTCGGTTAAGTAAACATTGAGGTCAAATTACTGACTGCTAACTAAACGTTCCAGAGTCTTATCACACATCTGTGGGCGGTTGCGTGCAATGTAGGTGGCGCCAGAGCGCTGTATAGTGTGTTGCAACTTATCGTGTTCTAAAAACCTGTTAACACGCAAATGGTCCACCATGTTTAAAAGCGAAAAACCTTTTAAAGGGTGCGCGGTCCGCAAAGTGGTAATATTATTCTCTCACACACCGGTCTCCTAAGTAGTTTCCTTCTATAAGTTTTCTCATCAGTATTTTATGCACTTCTTGCTGGTTGTGGGTGAACAGATATAATGGCACATCAGTAGTGCCTGCAATTTCTTTTCGTCTTCTTGCATACTCCACGTCTGATCTATCGTATTGCCTTGATTTACTCACAACCATAACAGCAGGTAATGAATATAAATATGTTGCAGTTTTCTCTCTTCTACTTTAATTGTCTCTTTTTGATCCCATCAACCCTTTATTTTCAAATATCGTCCACCTCTGTTATATTGCTATACATATTTATAACAGAATTTCCTTACCTGACATTGGTACATGTTACGCGGACTCTGATTGCAGTCTGGCAATGGAATAAGGCATGCCAAATTGCTCAGGAAACTGGTGTCTGTCACTTCTTGGTGAGTGGTTATCTGCAATGTGGAAAGAAGTAACTTCTTTCTGATTCAAAAGAAGTTTTCTTGGGCAGTTAAATGTGCCAAGATGGAATGGATTTCCAGTGTTGCAGTAGCTCTCACTGTTTCCATCGTACAGGACTGCTTACAGTGCCACTGTTGGTTGTATTTATAAATGCAAATGGTTTCACAGAACCCAGTGCTCTTCTGCGGAAACAAGCAGTAGGTGCACACTGGGCCCAGCCAGACACCCGCTCACCTTACACCACAGCAGAACCAACCCCATCTGCAAAAACCACCTACACTGGCACCATTCACCACATCCATCCCCAATAATGGTCACAATGAGAGTTTCCAACCCATCCTGACATTGCTGACCACCTGACAAGACTTTATTACATTAGCTTGATATAAAAATTTTGTATCTTATGTTTTTATTACTAGTATTCACTGACATAATAAAAACTATAAACATATTTGTGATTTATTTCACAGTACTGTTTTGGCATTCATGTGGAGGAACTGATACAGGAAAGAAAAAAGCCCCAGTCAAGATTCAAACTCTCTATCTCTAGGTAAAAATAACTCCTGTACCAACCTCCTTGGTGTGTTCTAAACACAATGTCCGAGTAAAATATTTCACCGATATGTTATGAAACATTTTAACATAATACAACAAACCCCTTCGTATGCTTCTTTTGGATAGATACAGATGTCCATGTAAACTTGCTCAAAGGTGCCAATGAGCTCGACCTTCTGAGCTGCTAGATTGATGACTGGACGCATCATACGAGCTGGTCCAGTGAAGAGGAACAAGCCTGGAAACTGCCCACACTTTCTTCCCATTGGAACAAGAACAATCTCTAAAGTCTGTGGCACTCTCTTTCCATCAGTCTTCAAAATATGCAGTCGATCTACTAATCTCGGAGCTTCTCTTTTCTCAACATGTCCAAGCACTTTGCCATCAAGCAACACAACAAACTGTTCATTATGGTTCAGAGTAATAAGTCTGACGCCTTTAAGAGGGACCATTCCTAAAGATACCAACACAGATGGAATGTTGGCAACTATCTGTGGGTCAGGGGTACTTGTCACTTCACAGTATTTAGTTAAATGGTTCAACAACCCACAAGGTGCCCCATCAGGAGTGTGAACAGGACAAATGAACCCTGAAAGAAATAACACAAATATATATATATATATCTACAACACCATTCAAATCATAAAAATGGGCTTGTGCTTGTTCAGCATGAATGGAACCAAAGGACAGACTGCTTCACTAAAAATGGGATTAATCTAAAAGTACATTTTCAACTTTTGGAAATAATAACTAACTCCATAGAGTAGAGGTCTTTTTGAGAAATTGACAGGCTCTCAGCTGGTCAACAAACTCTCTAACTTTTACAAAATGCGAACTCAAATTTTTATGTCCACCCTCTGTCTATATTCCTCCCTTAATGTCAGAGACCTTTTTTTTAAACTCGCTTAGTGGGGGGTGGAGTCCAACTGGGTCCACTCGGCATGGTGGCCAATGATTGGCCTACTGTAGCCTGCCTCGGGTGATTATGATGATGAGGAATTTGGTGGAATGAAGATTGGCAGGGGAAACCGAAGTACTTGGAGAAAACCCACCCCAGTGTCACTTTGTCCACCACAAATCCCACTTGACCAGACCCGGGATCAAACCCAGGCCTCCGCAGTGGGAAGCCAGTGACTAACTGCTTGAGCTATGACGCAGCCATATGTCAGAGACTAACTTTCATGCCCATTCAGAACCACAGGCAAAACCATTATTTTGTATATTCTAATTTTTATCTTTTTAGACAGCAGACAAGATGACAAAAGGTTCTGGAGTGAACAGTAGCAGATGAATTCAATCTCCTCTTAATTTCCTCCTGAATCAAATTTTGATATGTTACTGCTGTTCCCAAATATTTCTAAGGGATCTGTTAGCTATCTTTATGCCATAATTTTCCCTACATTCTGGTAATGAGAAGCAACATATACTTAGTTTTCTTTGCATATCAGTTAGTACAATTTCTTTGATACAGAACACATTACTGTCAGACTGTTCCTCTGTGTGCAACACCATATAAATAATCTTGAATATATTAAGTAAATAATATTTAACACATTTGATTTGTTTCATTCTGATCTGTCACACTAACAATATCATGAAAAATTAAACAGTTTCGTCCAGTGTGACTGGTAAGATCTTTCCCACTTCAATCATCCACGCCATTATATGTTTCAGTCTTCAGAGACAATCATCGGAGGGACATCTTTACAGCAATACAGTTGGAGACTACTGTTATAATATAACATATGTTCTAAAAGTTAAAATGTATACATATAAAATAATATACAAATGGGTATAAAATCTAAAGTCTTTACAACTACAGTGCCTGTTCCAACGCTTTAATTTTTTTTATAGCTAGTTTGTTGATACTTTATTTGAATTTGTAAACCAAGTAGGTTCGTGTCGTGGGAAAGATCTTCACCAGTCACACTTGACGGAACTGTTTAATTTTTCATAATAATTAACACCTCTTAATTTTTCAGAGGTCATTTAGACAAAATCCATTACCCCTCAATTTTACAGTCTATTTCCAAAAATTAATTATGGGTGGCTTACAAATTCTGTGTTATGCATTTGATGCAGTCTACCACATGAGTGGGCAAACTTAAGAACCAAAGTCAAGAGAAGGGGATTCAACTGTTTTGCCAGGTCTAATTACAAGAATAATGCTGGACAAAAACTATGGAATAAATATTTACTGCTGCAAAAATCATCTGACATAAAGTTCTTACATGGAAAAATATGTCAATATACTGCTTCAGGAGAGGGATAGGGATGAAAATTACAAATAATGTTACAGGCAAATTTTCATTATAGTTCTGTGCACCAAATAAAAAGCTCTCATAAGCCAGATTTAAGCCATGGGCAGTAGTTTGCCCACCCTTAGTACAGCATCTATTGTTCCAGTGAGGGTTAACACCTTATGTCAGAATGATTGTGTATTGCCAATGACGGGCATGTTTGCCTTCTAGTCAGAGGAAAGGAGTGAAGACAACAGTAACCCAGTAAGAGCTAGCTGGAAGACTGCTATAAAGACAGCTGCTACAGGATGAGTACCCTAGCATCAAAGTTCAACACTGACAGTATTCCATCTTATGCGCGAATGCTGCTGGCATTTGTTCTCATGGCATAGGTAACCCGCTGAAGAAAGTCATACTGTCATAATGTCAATAAGATATGTCCACAAGTATATACCAATGTCATTAGTAAAAACAAGAAAACTAACTTAGATTAGCAGTAATCCTCACCCCAAGCTTCAGGTAGCAGCTGCCGTGGTTCAGAAGTTCTCATTTCCTGGAAGAACGCACCTCTATGTACAGATCGGAAGTGGGACATGTAACGCATGCGATTGATATTTTCAGCCAAAACTGTCAAACCTAAGAACATGTAACACAAACCAATCAAAATAAAACGTACATGCCCACTCACCATCGTGAACTGTCTACTGTTCCGAACCTCAAGAGGTACAGAAGATGAACTCTTAAGATTCAATTTTATTTTCGGATTGTGTACCTCTGCTAAAAGGAGTTTTTGGTACAGACAAAATCCACACATATACATGCATAAGCATCCATCCACCCCCCATGATCCAATCCCACATACAGTTTGTACTCGCTCAACTCTGAAGACAGGCAGTAATCCTTTGAAGAAGAGGCTGTTAAAGAGATGTGAAACATACCTTTGTCCTGTAGAAGTCCAAGTCCTGATGAAGTATGAAGGTTTCCAGTTGCAAAGAAGGCATTTAGTGAGGATTCGATGGTGCCACTTTTCTTTAATGCCCAATTCAGCTCACCTGCAATTGTGACAAAAATCATCATAACACATAGAAAATATTAAATTAACAGGAAAGTAAATTTATGCTAAATATCAGCTTTTGATATTTTTTGTTTTGCTTCTATTGCTAAATTGAGCAAACATGGCTACTTCTACTGCAACTGATGCAATCCAACCTCTCTGTACAACTGAGATTACAATTACATGTTGACAGAATTAATTATGTTTACAGCAAAAACTGGCAAAAAAGAGGGGCCCTAGCACAGCTGAGACCCATTGTGCTACAGAATCTACACCCCATGTTGAAGATAACTAACCTGTGTTCCTAGCATTAAAATTTTGGACACAGTGAGCGGTAACAGAGAGGCTCCACCACAAGTGACACCCTTAGTGCTATACATACCTCCTGTTTTAGATTACTAAACTGTATCACTAGAATTAAAACTTTCAGACACAGTGAGAGGCAACAGAGGGGCTCTACCACAGGTGAGACCCTTGGTGCTACAATACCTACCTCTTGTCACAGATAACTAAACTGTGTAAGTAAAAAAAAAGTAAGAAGTAAAGCTATCCCTGTACCAGGCCGTGAAGGCCCATAGGGCTGTGAGACGTTGAGGGTCCCACACTATCTAGACAATCGGCTCAGAGATGGCGGTAAGATTGTCAGCCTTACGCGCTGGCCGCGCTTTACTCCTCAGGAAAATTATTTAATTAATTCCTGGTACTCATTTCTGTTAGAGGCTAAGTAAACCCCAGGGCCTAGTGCGGCTGGAAGGATTAGGTCAATTGAAAAATATCCAATGACCTCATCGGGAATTGAACCCGCGACCTTCCAGCTTGTAGCATAGCCCATCGATCAGCTACGCTACCACGTGCCCCCAACTAAACTGTGTTCCCAGAATAAAACTTTCTGACAGATTGAGGTCTGAAATTGGCAAAACTTAATAACTTCTTAAGTATCATGTTGCTATTAAAATCACTAGGGCTAACAGGAAGGTTTAATTTTCTAATTTCTGAAGTTCCTTCACCTGCTCTTCCACAAGAGATGAGGGGTAACTATAATAGAGCAAATGTGGTCAAGACGTCATGTTAATGCATTACTGATGCAACCTCCTCATTTCCTCTTGGTACAAATGGAACAACCTGTAGTTACATTACTGTATGTTCAGTACTTAAAGAGCCCATTTAAGGGCATACATGGAGACATTCTATACATATTTACATGTACACTCCACTCATACTTTCAGAAAAGCGCATATTATGCTGGGATCAACATTTTTAATAACCTGCCATCTGATCTCAAAGGTCTTATGAATGAAAAGGCACGATTTAAAATAGCACTGAAATGATACTTAAATACACATTCATTCTCCTCTGGTGATGAATACCTATTGTCTAGAAAATAACTTATGTATCTTTAAATAGCCTTGTGTGTAGTCACTGTGTATTCTTGGTTTCTGTTGTGTGAGAACTCCATTGGGTCTGTACATATGTTTTGTATTTAAATGATATACTCCACATCCTAAAGCCATTTTGACTAACTTTGGATCCATGGAATGCAATGTAAGGTAATGTAATGTAAAAAAATAATAATTATATTCAAAATTTAGAGTCACTTGCAAGTCAAGTGATGTTTCAGAGGACCATGTCACCTCCAGCTTCAGGGTGAAAGAATAAGCCAAGCAAGAATCCAGCATGAAAGCAGGAGGAGGTGACATGTTCCTCCAAAATGACTGCTAACGTTCGATGGACTACACACCATTATATCCCACAAGACAGAATTATTCATAATCACTGACGTGAGAACCTCAGATCCTACATATTCAAAATTAGTTGTGCATCAATTAGAAAAGAGTGGAAATATGTATTAAATATGAAGTGATAATGAAATTATATTACTTCTCTGTACTTACTGTTAGTTAAGGTGAAACCAGCAGTTGGTTTAGCTTTTTTCAAAATTATAGATTTGAGAACCTGCAGCCAAACTTGCATCTTATCTTTGATTAACTGGAGGTACAGGTGACCACCAAGAAGAAGTTCATGCATCATCAGCCCATCTCCACCTTCCACACAACATTTGTTCTGCACTACAGAAAACAGCTTCTGCATCATCAGTATGTATAAGTTGAATTTATCCTCGTTGTTATCCAGATGAATAGCCAACGAATGCCTAACAACACAAAGTTTTAAATCAGCTTCTCTTATATACAAGTGAGAAAGCAGAAGAAACATATCTGAAAACACACTGAGGGTAACACAGAACTATCTGCTGAGGAAAACACCTGGAGCTAAGAGGAAGAAAGAGGAGGGTGAAGAAAGTTATGTAATGAGTAGCCTCAGAGTACCTGCTTCCACTCCAACAGTTTTTTTTCCTTGGCACTACAGCCCCAGTGGGCCTAGGCCTACCTCCATGAACTTCTCCATTCACTTTGGTTTTTCTAGATCTTACACATATGGTAGGTCTCCTTGGGCAGGTGATCAGCTCATCGCAAGGCCTCTACCTGTACATAAACACAGAAAAATGCACACAAACTTCCATGCCTTGAGTGGGATTCGAACCCACTATCCTGGCTTCTGAGCGAGCGAAGACAGTGCATGCCCTAGACCGCTCGGCTACCGTGACCGGCAGTCCAACAGTTAGGGTGCTTAAATTAAGAAAATATGATGCATAGAACATGTCTTGCTTATGGAAGATGTGAAAAATACATACAAAATTTTGATTGGAATACTCAGAGAAAAGATACCATATGTGAGACCTAGGCAAAGATGGGAAGACACTATTCAAATTTATCAGAAATAAATAGGGTGCAAGATGGTGGATTCAATTCAAGTGGCTAAAGATAAGACCCAATCACAGAACTTGAACAAGACAATAAATGTTCAAGCATCATAAAAAGCAAGCAATTTCTGACTGGCTAAGAACTATATAATTTTCAAGGAAGACCCCACACCATGAGTTAATTTCCCACAGTTGGTCAGTATAGTTCGCTTGAAGACTAAAGCCACGGAGTTTGTGTTTGTTTGTTTTGATCTTCCCCTTGTTTAATACTTACACCCCAACAATGTATTTTTGGCATTCATTCAAGTGACATTGAAAATATCTGCTTCCTCCAGTCTTAGCAATGGACATAAAGATAAAAATATTATAGATAATATCAATTTAAGCATTACTCACCTAATTACAAAATCACATATTTCTTCATCTGTTGTCCAGGATGCTACATCATAGAATCTAGCTTTGAATGTCTTTCCAATGTAGCTCTTTGCTTCATGGTGAGTATGTATTCCTTCTTCATGCAGAGCTTGCATCATGTTCATCAGACACCTAGACCACACAATCAGTAGATGTGATATGGAAAATCCCTGGTAGCTTCAAAAATCTCCAGGGCACAAACAAACTCAGTACCATACTTCCCCAGCCAGTGCATGCCCCCGATCTCACATAATGTGACTGCTAGTTCAATCCACAGAGGGGCTGAGCAGCTGTCTCTTCAAGGATGCAGCAAAGGCTCAAATAGCTTCAAAAATTTGTTACAAAAAATGCTCTGAGAACAAAAAGTGTAATAAAACTAAATGTAACAGCGTCTAAACAGCACAGTATGGAGGTGTCATCGGGGACAGTGTACATCGCCAATTTATAATTACACAAGATCTCCATTAGTTACATTCAGCACACTCAAATATGTGCAGGCCATTATACGGAAGGTCCCCACATATTACATGTCATACAATATACTCGTCTTGTCGTTCACGGTAGCCGAGCATTCTTAGGCATGTACCATCTTCACTCACTTGGAAGCCGGGATTGTGGGTTCGAATCCCACACAAGGCATGGATGTTTGGTATGTGTATGAGTTTACTCTGTGTTTAGGTAGAGGCTTTGCGACGAGCTGATCACTCATCCAAGGAGTCCTACTGTCTGTAAAACGATCATGAAACTAAAAATCAGAGGCATGGTCCAAGAGGACAATAGAGCCTGTGAAAAAAAAAAAAAGCTCTGTTTTCTTATGGGGTGAATGACACAATCTCTATGTGGTGCTTACTATATTAATCATTAAACAACCTGCCCCTCCTCAAGAACTATTGCTATGGTGGAGAGGTTTGCATGCGCCAATGTCTCGGAAGCTATGCTGGTAGAAGCATAAACCAAATATGCCCGACACGTCAAAGGTTAGGTGCAAGATGAAGTGTAGTCCCTGGTCCTCAAGGTTGGGGGTTGGCTGTGGGACTAATGACCCCAACCAAAATCTTACTGCTATAAAATCATGGAGGAGGCCAAGATCCATACAGAGTTGTAACATCAGCAAAGAAGAAACAACCTGCTACTTAGTTTTGAATTTGATCTGAACACATAAGCAATACAAGATTATATCTAACAATCTGGTTACTTCAGATATGACATTATTGGTAATTAACTTTTTCAGCATCTCAGCTTACTAAGGATGACTGTTTCACTATATTTGAGTTTTTAAAGTGATTAGATAAAATTAATGGCCAGATTACCATAAGATCGATGACTGTTTCACTATATTTGAGTTTTTAAAGTGATTAAATAAAATTAATGGCCAGAATACCATAAGACCATAACACTTACCCTTTCATGTAGGTGTCCTCCTCATAACCCGCCATGAGCTGATGCATTATGTACTCGTCACATACATCAAGAAGACACTTCAAGATAAGCATGATGGGTGTGTAATAGAGGTTGCGTTTGTAGCTGAACATCAGTTTTGCCGAACCATCTCTCACAAAATGCAACACATTGTTCTGTAGGACAATTTCAGACAGTAGCAGTATTCTTATTCTATTTATGACATTGATAAACAATAAAAGTTTCTAATTACAAGCGTCAAGATGTGTCAGTGATGACGATTTACTCAGCTCAGCTTATGTAGTAATGTTCAGCTTATCACAATAGACCTCAAGTGAAGATTCAACCTATTCACACTTTCAAAGACAGAGATCTGATGATGCAGAAACAACTTAATACAACGCAACAGAATAGAATGTTGTTGCGTAGACAGTGTATTCTTGTATGCTTTATATCTTATAACAGAACAGCTACTTGGGATTCCAAAAATTGAGCTTGAGGGGTGTTTTTGTATGACAGGAACAATGGAAAAAGTTTGTATGTGCTGAACAACACAACTCCGAAGGGTACAAACCTTCCTTTCCAATAATTACAGTATATTAGCATACATTGAATCAATCTTGATACATTTTATCAGGCCTCAATACTAACAGTTGAAGTCTGATCATCCTTGACACAGCGTATCATGATGCCCAGGTCAGAAAAGAGAGACCCACGCTGCTTCCAAGATGATCTTGTGACGGCAAAAGGATAATTCCTCCGGGTCATCTGCAGCATCCGGATGAGACGTTCGTGTCCTCCAATTATGAAATATCCACCCCACTCTTCTGCATGTTCTCCCTTTGCAATCAACTGACTGGGATTCAGTTTTGACAGATGGCATGCATCTGACTGAAGACAAAATTAAGAAATATGAATGTTACTAACAAGGAATCAAAACCATAAATAAAAACTGATTTTGAAATCACAAAGCAAATAGTTAAAAGGAAATGCATGCACGATATGTAGGCTTTGGATTTATCTTGTAAAACAGTATGTCTGACTGAAGTAAGAGATAAGGATTTTGATTTAAAAATAAGAAAGTGAGAAACAAATATTAGGAGACCTATAAAATATATTCACAAACAAAAAAATAATTTTCAATGTATGACATGTCTGGATGATGACAGGCTGATCACAACAGCTGCACGATCTAAGGCATGAACTGTCTTTGCCTGCTCAAACACTGGGATCGTGGATTCGAATCCCACTCATGGCATGGATATCTGTGTGTGTTTATTCTGTGTCTATGCTGTCCTGTGTGCAGGAAGTGGCCCTGCGACAGGCTCATTCCACATCCAAGGAGTTGTACCGACTGTCTAAATAGATCAAGAAACTGAAAAAGCGGCCAAGGCCCAACAAAACAGCTGTAGAGCCATACACAGATTGGATGATAACACAGAGAAGAAACAATAATGACAAGGAATATCAGTCAGAAATACAAAACTTGCAAATTTCACAGAAAACTGATAAAAATACAACCACCGAGTATTTAATAAGAACCAAATTTTAATCACATAATATGAACAGATTTATATTAACCAATAATAAAACAGGTACCTTCACCATAATTGGGATCTGGCCCAAATCTTTCTCAACAAGTGCCAGCTGAACATCATTAATTTTAAATGACAGCTTAGTTATGAGGTGTCCTTTGTATGTGATACCACGCTGTCGACATTCAGTAGGAAATATATATGGTGACTTAACACCATATGAACCAGGTGGAACAACAGGTGAACATAATTTTGCACTCTGTAAGGAAAAGAATTTGTTAAGCATTCAGCATATGAATACATTTGGTTTTCTGTAAAGTGGGGCATGAACTTTTCCTATATTCACCCTACTTTCCAGTAGAAGAAAATAAAACTGTTGACCTTTCCCATTCACACTACCAAACTCTAGTGATACAAGCAACAAATGTTGCAGCAGTCAGGCTCATTTGAAATCTGAAAAGACTGCTGGAACTATATTAAACGAGAAAACGTTTGAAGAGTTATTAAAAAACTCGCACGTGTACATTAATACAACAGTCAGGAGAAGTCTGTAATCTGACATACCTCAAACTTAATGCGGATACGGTCACCATTTTGTAATTCAAATTCTATAGGCAAAATATCTTTCACTGCTTTATCCAGCCCTTCTCTTAGGACGTAATTGAAAGACTCCACATGCGGAGCACCAAGCGACTGAAGCAACTAAAACATGGGGAAAACACGTGGTTATACAGTGGTCATTCTAACCTCAAAACCATTTGATTCACATTTCATAATACAATAACAAGCAACAAAACAGCTATTGCCACCGACAAACCGCATACATCATCTTGCTTTTCTGGAATTTTTCCGAAATCTGCACTTAAATTCTTCAACGAAGGTTCTGCATCAACGTAACTGCACCCTAACGCAAACATTTCCAAAACCATTAAACAACTACCACACCAGCCTACACACAGCCATTTTATAACTATGCAGACCGATGCAGACACACACATACAAGTATGATACAGACCGCCATTGATTCGTGGCGCTATCTTTGCTTGTTTCAGTACGGATTGTTTTGTTTATTCAGTGTTGTTTTGTGTACTATGAAATCCGGTTCGTCTTTTGGCCTAAATAATATGTCATATGTTAGGAATTAGTATTTATGTATGTTACAGAATAACTTTTTGGTGTAATGAATAATATTAAATAATAGGGTGTATAGTGATACACTAATAAGAAATACATTACTATTTAAAGTCGGCAATTTCTTAAAGTAGGGTTACGTATGCTGTTGTGTGAACATTTACACCGAATGACCAACTCGCCTGCGGGATATATTTAATTTGAATTACATTTTTAACACCGCGATCGTTGAACAGAGTATTACTGTAAAAAGATGACAACTCTAGAACTCAAGGATGCAAAAACCCTACCCGATCCCATTCATACATATCCAAAAAATGTTAGAATTTCATCAACGCCCATAGTAATAGACAATGGTAAGTGTATTTATTTAGAAATTGTATTATACATTTCATTTTGGAACTTTAACTTTAAATCTTTTCCATCTTTTATCAGGGTCATATCAGTGTCGAGTTGGTTGGGCAACACAGAAAGAACCATTGCTTATATTCAAGAATTTAGTTGCAAAACCAAGAAAGGAACGTGGCAAAAAGGTAACAATATAAGAGCAGAGATGTAGAAATTGATGGAACATGCAGAAAGCAGGTACTGGTCAGAGACACAGCCTGCAGGGTGTAGAACATAAATAATATAACTTCGGAGAGCTTGACATAGATAATAAATGTTTTGGAATATTCCACTGCCCCTATACAAACTTAATATATCAAGATTATACTTTGATCCATAATACAAGGGCTATTTGGAAAGTAGCCTCCAGTGGGCTGTTAACAAAACAAGCAATGAGAACAAAAATTTTATTATATACAAAAGATACATACCTACTTAAGACACTTCTCAGTGTGGTCACAGCCAGAGTCAATGCACTTGTATCGGGGAATCAGTATTTGTATGCCTGTATAAAAGAAGTCTGCTGCCTGTGAGTTCAGCCTCATTTTGACACCTTCCCTCACCTCATTATTGTTGAAGTGCCATGATCCCAACCAGTTCTTCAGGTATGTAAAAAAGTGGTAGCTGCTGTGAGTGAGATCAGGGCTCCAGCAGTGCTCAACTGCGAACAACTTTACTAGTGTGCGGGCATGCAATGTTATTAAGAAGCACTACACCAGATGTCAGCATTCCATGCCCTTTGTTCTGAATTGCCTATATAGTTTTTTAGTGTTTCACAATACAAAACATGGCTAAGCTCACAGGCAGCAGACTTCTTTGACACAGGCACACAAAAAAGACTTATTCCCTGATACAAGTGCCTTGATTCTGGTGGCCACTGTGCTGAGAAGTAGCTTAAGTAAACTCCGTGGCCTGTAGCCCACAAGCAAACGTGTCACGTGGTCAGCACAACGGCTCCCCATGGCTACTAATCTCGGTTTTCTAGACTGGAACCACTATTTCCTTGAAATAGCTCCTCAGTTATCCTCACAAGGCTGAGTGGACCCTGTTCCAGACCCACTACTTCTCAGAAAATCAGGTAGCGCCAGGAATCAAACCCAGGACCTCTCGATCTGTAGCCAGGAACTCTGACCACTAGACCACAGAGGCAGTCAAGTAGCTTAAGTATCAACGATCAACAATGATCCAACTCAACAATACCAGAAAATTGTAAAACAAACACTAAAACAATGTAGTGACATCATACCAAAAGAACACAGATGGAGTACACGAATATTAACCCTACAGCCTGAACCCTGAACCCACAATAAAACTACATAAACAAAGCACACCCATTAGACCAATAATCAATTGGAGAAATGTCCCAGCTTATGAATTAGCAAAATAACTATCAAAAACATTAAGCAATTACTTACAATTACCATATACATACAATGTGTGTAATCCCATGCATCTAATGACAGACCTACAAAACATCGTGCTCAACAATGATATGAAACTCTGCTCCTTTGACACAGAAAATATGTATACAAACCTACCAAAAATTGGTATTATAAACATAGTAAATACAACACTAGAAAATCTAGGAACCGAGACGAACATACAAAAAGGAATTATGCAAATATTAAGAACAGTGATTGAACAAAATTATTTCCAGTTTGACCAAGAATATTACAAACAAACTGACGTACTGACAGTGGGGGCTCCAACATCATCAGTACTAGCAGACTCATACATACAACATATGGAGCACACACAAATATATCCCATCCTAATAAAGCATCAAATAATTGCATATTTTAGATATGTCAGTGGCATATTGATAATATACGATCAAAATAAAACAAATATTGACCACACACTTAATGAGTTCAACAAATTACAGTCAACCATAAATTTCACTATAGAGAAAGAACATCAATCTGTTAACTTCCTAGATCTAGTAATACATCAAAATGACAAAAATTTTGAATTTGCAATATATCGAAAACCTACTCAGACTGACATTATAATACCAAATAGCTCATGCTACCCATACAAACAAGCTATCCAGCATTAACTATTTAGTAGATCGATGGTATACGTATACAATAACAGGAAACGCAAAGCACGCAGAAATGAACAACATTCAAAACATACTACGTAATAACGAGTACGACATAAACTTAATTAGTAAACTAAAACAAAATACACATGCTGACTCGCAGCAACAAAAATCAAAGTGGGTCCCGTTCACATTCAGCGGTAAGGAAGTGAGAGCAATCACAAAGCTTTTTCAAGACACAAATAAAAGTGGCCTTCCATACATGGAACACAATACAGAACATATTAAAGCCATAGCTGCAAATAGATAAATATAGTAGAAGTTGAATTTATCAAATGAAATGCCTAGATTGCCCATTAAATTACGTTGGACAAACAAGAAGAACATTTAAGACAAGATATAAAGAACCCATTCATGACATAAAAAGTAACAATAGTAACTCCAGACATTCAAGTCACATATTGAACACGACACACATACGGCACAATGACAGATACCATGGAAATTATAACAGTGGGGAGGAAAGGAAAATATTTGAATACACTTGAGAAATATCATATTTACAAAACCAGTAAAGAAAATCTACATATGAACAACACTAATATAGACACACACAATCCTATATTTGAAGTATTATACAAAAATTACACAACATAACACTATACCCTCCCCCACCTCTCCCCACTCCTCACAACCAGGGCATATAAATACGAGAACCAACACACTGCATCTGCACCAAACAAAAAGGGCACTAGTGAAGACAACAACACACAAGCAAGGCGCATACTGCAGATTGCAGACATGGCAAAACAATGGGCTAACAAACAGAAAAAGAAGCTGCAGAAATGAACCTTCTGCAATAATCACATAGCTCTAAATAAGCGGACGACGCCCCTCATGAGGTGGAATAGGATTTTACAAAAAAATTTTAATACAGAATTTTGATGGATTTTAGTTAATTATTTGTTATTTTAGGTGGACTGCAACACACGGTTTTTAGTGCAGATCAGAGCAGTGTAACAGTTTGGATGCATTAAGACACCTGAAAATGGCCATCTGTGGCCAAAACATGTTGTGTTAAGTGTTAAATGGTGAATAAACAATTGTTGCATTATTGACGGACTGTGGATACATAGACATTTAATTAAAGGTCTGCAACAGGATGCTGAAATACAGAATAGCTTAAGTATGTACATATTTTTTGTATATAATACATTTCTTTTTTCTCGTTGCTTGTTTTGTTAACAGCTTGCCGGAGGTTACTTTCTGAATAGCCTGTGTATATACCTTCATATCATGAAGGCATTAGAAATACTGATAAATGTACCATTTTGTTGCATATTCCCCACATCACATGGCACTGTGACATCATTCACCTTATATGCCAAGGATTAAAACTCCAACACAAATTTCTCTAAACAGAAGTTATCAGTATTATTTGTTCTTTTGAATATTGTAAATATGATACCTTAGGAGATAGCTGGAGCTTCTGATACTCCTGTAGGAATTGTTCATGGAAGATGTTCTGTAATACAATTACCAACATCCACAAGAAAAAGGTCTTCCAAAGTGTATCCTTCATTTGATATTGTATTCAAATTAAAATGCATTCAAAATATTTGTACTTGTAGGACGGAGAGACTCAAGTGGGAAATGATATCACCAATATTGAAGCAGTCCGATTCCAGCTTAAAACTCAGTTTGATCGAAATGTTGTAACACATTTTGAGGTTCAAGAGCAGGTGTTTGACTACATATTCACACACCTGGGAATTGACACAGAAGGTCATGTTAATCATCCTGTGGTTATGACAGAGCCATTTCTCAATCCAAACTATTCGCGACATTGTAAGTCATGTTATATTCTATTTTTAATTGCATTAGAGTACTTAGGCATTAGTGGGAAGCTGTTCCAAATGTGGATGCACAAGCCTGAAATTATAAAGAACTTTCATATTGCAGTATAACTCATATAGAAGAATTATGTTTAATATGTTTCTATTGTCATAGAACTACAGATAATCAAAATTATTCCTTTAAAAGCTGTAAAAGGATATAGGATTTGAAGCTTTCACAGTGACTGTATGTAAGGAAGTCTTTTTGAACAATCAGCTGTGTGAGAGTTAGGATCTGACATTTTGGAGACTCACTGTCACCATTGTGCCATGGGTTGATGTGACGAGTGACACGGTTGTATGTTGTATTTATAGGTATCATTGATTTCAGAGCCCATGTCATGTTTAAGTGCAGATCACTCACGAAGCAGTGGGTGGAGTCTGGTGATCAGTCATCACATCCAGACTGTATTGCTTAATGTGGATGAGCCAAAATGCTGGCTGTACTTGCTTTCTCCTTCCATGGTTTTATGCTGGCCCTACTTCAGTGGAATATGCTGGTACCTGGATACCAGTATTGAATTAAAAGTGAACCCCCATATCCCTGTTGGGGGCACACGGTAACGTAGTTGGTTGAGGCACTATGCTACAAGCCAGACAGTCGCAGGTTTGAGTCCCGATGAGGTGGATTTTCAATTGACCTAATCCTTCCAGCTGCAATATGGCCCTGGGGTCGACTCAGCCTCTATAACAGAAATGAGTACCAGGAATCTTCCTGGGGGGTAAAGAGTGACCAACACTTAAGGCTGACAACCTTACTGCCGTCTGTGAGCTGACTGTCTAAAGAAAATGTGGGAGCCTCGATGTCTCACAGCCTGTTACAGGGATGGCTTTATGAGGGTCGATCAATAAGTACCCGTGCTTGAAGACAGGTGGCGTTGCTGAGGGAAGTTGGCATTACCGTCGTGTACTGCCATCTGTCAAACGATACCATACTAAATTTCAGACTGATTCATAGGTTAGTTTTTATTTGGCAGCCAGTTGCATCAGACGCAATATCGATCCGTAATTCACTTTTTATTTTTGTATGGAAAAGCATACGAAGAAATAAAAGCGAAGTTGGATGCTGTCTATGGGGACCCTTCACCATCTATGACAACTGTGAGATATTGGTTCAACGAATTTAAACGTGGTCGTACCTTTTTAACCATATCCCTGTTGAAGATGTCAGGATGTAGCCACATTTCAGTGGCCTCTTTCAGTGCTAAGTTCAGTCATGTCAAACTTGTGTGGTTGGTGGAGTTCACTGTAAATCATTAAGTTGGTCCTGGTACCTGGTTACCAACATACACCAACAAAGCAGGGCCAGGGTAAAGCACTGGAAAGAAGAAGCAACTATGGTTGGCATCCCAAACTGTCCAAATTAGGTAGCATGAGCTGGATGCATTGACTGAGTGTAAGAGTCTTCTAATTGTGCCCTGAGTAGTCCACACTCTGACAGGACGGTGTGCTTCGAGAGAAAAAGTGTGTATAAACACAGCAGAGAACCATATCACATATCAACCCATGCTGATGGAGACATAAACAAAGACATTGGATACTGACTCTGTTTTCGCACGACTGGTCATTGTGTTAAAAAATGCAATACTTTTTGACATACCAAAATGTGATTTCATAACCCAGTACTTTCCATATTACAGTGATGTCTGAACTTCTATTTGAATGTTATGGAGTTCCAAGTGTGTGTTATGGTGTAGATGGTTTATTTAGTTTTCGACACAATCATCCGAAGTGTTCCGCAGCCCTGATCATAAACTGTGGGTATCACACAACTCACATTTTACCAGTGATCAACAATCAAGTGGACCCAACACGAAGCAGACGGATCAACGTAGGGGGTATTAATATCATAAACTACTTGCATAGGTTGTTGCAACTAAAGTACCCAGCCCACTTCACAGCCATTACTCCAAGTAGGGCAGAGGTATGTGAAACTTAAATTTACTTGAAGCAAGTTTTGTCGTTCTTTCCTTCACTTACCTCATAAGGCGAGCGGCCTCCGTAGTCTAGGGGTAACGTTCCCACCTCATGACTCAAGGTACGCGGATTCAAACCCGGTAGAGATCATGGAATTTTTAAGGGCGGAAAATTTCAGGGAACAAGTCCTCTGGGAGGGACTTTAAGCCGTGTGTCCCGTGTCGTAGATTTACGGCACGTAAAAGAACCTCATGTCTCTAGGAGACCTCTGAGCTAAATTAGGCAACAATTTCCCACCCAAGTAGTTTCCAATGCCTCTGGTAGATGGGGGAAGTATCAAAGGTACCGAGGGCCGACCTCGTTGGCTCAACGGGGCTGATAGCATGCACCAGTACTGGTAGGGTATGGGGACTGGTAGAATATCAAAGGGGGATGCACAATGGACCAATAACTGGTCTAAGTGCATGGGGAAACACACCCCCTCCAATAATAATAAAATAATAATAATAATAACTTATATGGCATGTTAAGTGGTTCCCTGATCACCATATGGTGCATCTTCAGATTGCAGATGGATAAAATGGCCTTCAGATACAAAGAATAGCTGCAGAATACTTTAGGAATGTTGGCTAAAAATGGGTTGAGCTTAGTGAACTTTGCCTTATCCAAAAATCTGATTCAGTCTCAGCTGGGTTATTGAATGTACTGAGGTTTTTATGGTCATGACCAAGTCACCACCTTACATGTCCTTGTATATTTACCATTCATGATCATTTCCTCACTTCATTCAGTGATAAATAATGTATTTACTAAAAGTGTCATTAAGTAACCCAAGATTCAGTTGACAGCTAAAGTAATAGTAATATTACAAATTAAATGAAAATCGTTCCATTTGTTGTTACTGTTGTTGCAGCAAGGAATATTTTACAGGACTATGAATATAATTTCTTTTAAAATTTATCCTTTTAGGAACTCGTACATGAACAGACATATATAGCTGTGAATTACCAAGAAGAATTAAACTGTTGGGCAGATTCAGACCACTATGATGATAATGTACGACGCATTCAGTTACCATATACTGTCCAAGCAGTTACACCTGGTCTTACACCGGAACAACAAAAGGAACGACGTAAAGAGCTGGCAAGACGACTCATAGAGATAAATGCACGCAAACGAGAAGAAAGGGTGAGACAATTAATTCAAGTTTATCTTCTTCATGATTTTCTGTCTTACTTTAACAAATCAGAGAATCAGGATATTGGAGCCTATTAATTGTTAATTAGCTTATTTTACTTGTATAATTGATTTTAAAGAGGACAAAATATATAAAACCAAAAAATTTACTGACATATAACTTTCATGGTAGTTGGTAGTCATGAAAAATCATCATAAAAAATTTTGTTTGCTGTGCAGTCTGTTGTAACCTTAAATGACAGGCAACATTTTAAGATCATGCTAACAGCAAGGATGTGTCACACCTCAAGGTTTTCGATGTCGGTTTATCATTGCACGGGTTCAAGCTCTTTCCATGACAGTCCATGAATTTGTGGCGAACAAAATACTGAATATGAAGAAAGTCATCTTCTGGGTTTTGGCACCGTGTATTCTTTGTTTTGGCTGATGTTTCGGAGGAACGTATCGCCTCCATCTTCAGAGCAGGTGAATGGCAACCGCAACCTCCAAGTGCTATTGACCTCCAATTTCCTGGATTCACTGGCCCCCCCCCCCAGCACCAGCACCATATATGGCCTTAATCGCTCTCCACTGCTCCTATTGGTCCGCTCTCCCTAACCACCCTCCCTGCCTACTTCTTATATAAAGCAGCGCCTTTCACTTCCTAATCATTACAGCTACTGCTTTCTGCATTCACTAGCCATTCACCTGCTCTGAAGATGGAGGCGATACGTTCCTCCGAAACGTCAGCCAAAATGAAGAATACACGGCACCAAAACCCAGAAGAAGACTTTCTTCATAGTCATCGCCGTGAAAACCTCAAAACTTACAAAATACTGAATACTTTGGTACTGTCAATTATCATTCAATAAATGCTCCATACTGTTCTAATATTAACCCTGAGATGTGCAATAGACCTAAGTAGCCTGCATATTATCAGAAAGAGTGTCTTTTTTGGACCATGTCTCTGACTTAGAATTTGTCTGGATTCCAAATAAAGAACTGAACCTTAAACTTTTAACTGCCACCAAAAAAAAAAAGGACTCATATTTGTCACCTCTTAAGCCTTATGATAAACATCATCGACAGAATTCAATCTCTGCATACCTAACATGAATTATTTTAAAAAATTTTGTCACATGATCATACCATGATTTTTCAGTCATGCCGTATAGGAAGGCATTTTTTGTATAGTTGGGGGTGGAGTCCAGCTGAGTCCACTCGGCATGTCGGCCACTGATTGGTCTGTTGTACCTGCTCCGGGTGATTATGATGATGGAGAATTTGGTGAAATTGAAGATTGGCATGGGAAACTGAAGTACTCAGAGAAAACCTTCCCCAGTGCCACTTTGTCCACCACAAATCCCACTTGACCAGACCCGGGCCACCGTGTTGGGAAGCCAGCGACTAACCACTGGAACTATGGCATGGCTTTATATGAGGGCATTGTTTTGAGCTTAAAGTTTTAAAATATGTATACTAAAAACCATAACTGAATATGGAGCAATGAGTATGATCGACTAATCCTAATGAATCTTTACATAAAGCTGGCAGAGGATGAGGAGCAACTGAACCAACTTCTGGCTGCCCAGGACTTGGAAGAGGGAGAAGAAAATGAATTTCAGGTAACATTGGTAACATTCAGACTTGAACAACAGAAAAACATGAAATCAAAGACTTAAAAATATGTTTTTTTTACAGAAAATACTAGACTTTTATGAGTTATCAAATGGAAATGATCTGCAGAAGTTGATAAGCCAACTTCAGGCCAGAATTGAAAGAACAAAACAGAAAATAGCTGCAGCGAACACTGCTGAAGACACCGTGACAGAGGTAAGAACAAATGTTGCACACTTACTCTAGCTCTCAGAAGTACTGTAATGATGACACTGTTTTAATTTACACTCTTTTTTTGCAGGACCCAAAACCCAAAATGTTAAAACAAAGTCTGAAACCAAAGGATCAAGAAGACTTTGAAACCTGGATTGCAGGAATGAGGCAGAAGAGGTAAGAGAATGTTGTAGAATACATTTTAGTCTGACATGCAGCTAACTAGCTCACTGACTTCATGGTACAGAATCTTCCTTGAACAGTGAATAATTGCAGGGCTGACATGCAGCTAACTAGCTCACTGACTTCATGGTACAGAATCTTCCTTGAACAGTGAATAATTGCAGGGCTGACATGCAGCTAACTAGCTCACTGACTTCATGGTACAGAATCTTCCTTGAACAGTGAATAATTGCAGGGCTGACATGCAGCTAACTAGCTCACTGACTTCATGGTACAGAATCTTCCTTGAACAGTGAATAATTGCAGGGCTGACATGCAGCTAACTAGCTCACTGACTTCATGGTACAGAATCTTCCTTGAACAGTGAATAATTGCAGGGCTGACATGCAGCTAACTAGCTCACTGACTTCATGGTACAGAATCTTCCTTGAACAGTGAATAATTGCAGGGCTGACATGCAGCTAACTAGCTCACTGACTTCATGGTACAGAATCTTCCTTGAACAGTGAATAATTGCAGGGCTGACATGCAGCTAACTAGCTCACTGACTTCATGGTACAGAATCTTCCTTGAACAGTGAATAATTGCAGGGCTGACATGCAGCTAACTAGCTCACTGACTTCATGGTACAGAATCTTCCTTGAACAGTGAATAATTGCAGGGCTGACAAGGAGTTTCCTATTTTTATGGAACCTCAACATTCATCACCATATTCACAGAATCCTACCATTGAGGTTAATACAATCTAAGCCTTCACACTGTATAATATCCATTTTAAAATTCTCTCTCCCTTTGAGGTTTCTGACCAAAATTCCTGTTTCCATTTCTCATACTGACAATATTTAAATGGACAATGTTTAAACAGCTGAATGTTAGTATTTGCAGAGTGTACTTTTTATAAGAAAATCTAAATAATTTATAGTAAATGATTTATTATTGACTATGTATGCATGTGGTATGCACTCACAGAGAATATAGTTGCAATGTCTGAGAGATTGTCAGATGGCCTCGGCATGTACATACATTTACACCTAGAACAAACAAAAGGCATGGGAAAGAAACATGGGAGAAAGACGCGCAAGAGATAAAGTTTAGAAGAGATATCTCCAATTTTCAACAGCCTTTTCACTGATTTAAATTAATAGAGGTAAGATGAATGGGATATGTAGAATAAATTAAAGAACTGAGACATTTACACATTTTTCTTAATGGAAAACCTGATAGGAAGAGGCCATTTAGGAAATTCAGACAAAGATGCGAGGATATTAAAATTAATCTTACTGCTTGATTCTTTAGTTATTTAATGCATAGGTTATACAGTAGTAAATCGTAGGTGGTTGCAAGTAATTAATCGAAAAATAAGTGACTGTGGTCTATTTTGAGGTAATTTCCAGTGTGCATTTTCAGACTCATGAAAACGAAAAGCTAATCATTTGGGATTTCTGGGTCAAAATTCAGTTGAATCCCAGACAAACATGGTGAGAAAATCTGGACTGAATATCTCAAGATAGGTCCAATGGTGATGGATATCTGTCAATATGATAATGAACTTTGTGTTGTATAAAAGCAGAGAACATACATCACTTGTGCAAAGAAGACCCCATACCATGGAGTTAGTCCTAATGAGGATATTAAGTCTCCAGTATTTTTTTGGCAGAAGACTTTATTGTAAATATATTTCTCTTCTGACAAAGCTTCCTTCACATCTGCAAGACATGCTATGAAAGAATCCTTTTTAATCTTATTGGTTTACAGTTTATTGTCTTTGTAGTTGAATCTCTCTTTATCTTGTAACTGGATGATATTTAAACTACATGACTTGAATATGGTAGCTTTTGATTATCTGCTTTGAAGATTAATTGCAGAACTTTTAGAACGTCTCGTAATGATTTAAATGTTGCCCATTACATCTGTTCTAGTGATATGTATCAGTAATGCTTTACAGTGATTTACTGTAGACTTTACATCATGTACCTCATCTCACCCCATTGCAGCTTTCTCTTTTTTTACCTTCTTGCTTTTCAGCTGGCTTGCTATAACTAAATGAGGGTTGCATCCTTCTGTTGGAAAGATAATTGTCTTAACTGTTTACAACAAGTATCAGGCCAGTAGACTCTATACTTTACAGTTTGTTACAGGTTTTAAACACCACATAAAGTTCATTAGTTTTGTATATGGGATTAGTGGGAGAACGTTCACTTTCACTTTTAATTGGGATCTGGAGCATTTCTTTCCCACAAATTTAGTTGGCCCAGTGTTATTTAACTCTTTATTTTATTCCATTTAACATAAACTTTGAAGGATTATTTCATAGTAGTAATTAAGTGATTTTCCCAGTTAATTGCAGCATGGATAGTGGGTATTTCTAGATCATTGTATTATCAATTTCTAATTATCCACTCCACATCTTCCCTCCATTACCACAAATAATTGAGGGTTCATTGTAGCCTCTAAAAAGATAACAGAAATAATCAGATATTAGTGTTCTGTACTCACTTTACCTGCAGTAATTTTATGTGCATTTTTAAGACAAGAAATTTTGGAGAGACGCAATGCCCGGCGCCAACGTCGACAGGATATGGCCAAGCGGCGTACAGCAGCTGCTCAGGAGCGTATGAGACTCATCAGTCAGCTTGCACGTAAGGAGAAGCGGGACGACACTTTTGGCATGCGTGATGAGGACTGGGATGTCTACAAAGTAATAAATAAGGTACTAATTACTATACAAACTTTGATATGGGATTTGAAAGCTGGTAGACATGTTACATGTTGGTCGCTTTTTAGCAGTACCCATTGCTGTGTCTATTCTTTAAATACGAGTAAATATACCATGCAGTCTATTTGGTAGATTGTGTTAAAATCTTCAGTGTTCATCTTGTGACATACATATCTGCTTCTGTTTGAGAAAGTGATATCATGTAAACTCTGTTCTTTGTTCAGAAGAAAACATAACTTATGCCATACTAGTCAGAGAGGTGAAGAAACTTTGTCTTGTAGAATTTTCTTTGCCATTATTCCAATTATAGAAACAAATTTTTTGTCATGATGTCAGTTTTCAGTGAAGTCAAATGGCATTTCCCTCTACCATAAAGTAAATAAACTATAAGCTTTTAAATCTGACCACAAAAAGCAGGTTTGTTGAGTAAGGTCTGAGCCAGAGAATTTCTGAGGAAGTGCCTTCTTGCCATAAATCCCTTAAGCAAAATTCTGTTATTAAGTCAATATCACTGAAACAATAAAAGACAGAAAATAGTAGCCCTTACTTACCAAAAGAGTCATACAACATCTGGCTCTTATTAGACATTCACTTGTCATAGAAAAGAAACCTAAATCTTTAAAATCTTTTAGAAACATTTCTCAGAAGAAAAGAATGTGTTACACCCCACTAAAGCCCACCCATTTTTTAAGTGACAACACAGTGAAGTATAATATATTTGTGTTAGTACTATTAGATGAAAAACACAAATTATAAAGCTTGTCTATCAATAGTTTTCTCCATTCATCTTTTTACTTAGTCCCTTTTTAAGTTTTTGCACTTTAGTTACTAACTTTCACTATGTTTGAAAGTAAAGTGCAAAATTATCAGAGAAGAAAATATTCATGAACAGTGGAATACCATAAACTTCAATTCTAATGGCAAAAACTTATGAAACCTTCATACATTGTCAAATAACATATATATTTACACACTTTCCTAGTACCATAAAAGGTTAAGCAGTTCCATCCAGAATGACTAGTAAAGATTTTTCTTATTTCAATCCTTCATCCCTTACATGTTTCAGTCTTTACAGACCATCCTCAGAGGAGCATCAATACGATTGGAAGCCATTATTATAGTACGTTTGAATGCCAAGATATATACATACAGTGCTGACAAAGTACAATGGGTATAAAATCTAATGTTCTAACAACTACAGCGGCTGCCTTAATATGTTAAAATATTTACAATCAGTTTGTTAAAATTTTTGTTGGAAATCGTAAACCAAGTTG